GCAGGAGGGGATGGGAAAGACCTCCGCCTGAGACCCTGGAGAGCTGTGAAGAGGGGCTGTGGCTCAGTGGCAGAGCCTTTGCTCGGCACGCAGAAGGTCCCAGGTTCAGTCCCCGGCATCTCCAGTGAAAAGGACCAGGCAGCAGGTAATGGGAAAGACCTTTCCCTGCCCGAGACCCTGGAGAGCTGTAAAGAGGGGCTGTGGCTCAGTGGCAGAGCTTCTGCTTGGCACGCAGAAGGTCCCAGGTTCAATCCCCAGCAGCATCTGCAGTTAAAATGACCAGGCAGTAGGTGATGTGAAAGACCTCCGTCTGAGACCCTGGAGAGCTGTAAAGAGGGGATGTGGCTCAGTGGCAGAGCCTTTGCTTGGCATGCGGAAGGTCCCAGGTTCAATCCCTGGCATCTCCAGTTAAAAAGGACCAAGTAGGAGGTGATGGGAAAGACCTCTGCCTGAGACCCTGGAGAGCTGTAAAGAGGGGCTGTGGCTCAGTGGCAGAACATCTGCTTGGCATGCAGAAGGTCCCAGGTTCAATCTCCGGCATCTCCAGTTAAAAAGGACCAGGCAGGAGGTGATGAGAAAGACCTCTGCCTGAGACCCTGGAGAGCTGTAAAGAGGGGCTGTGGCTCAGTGGCAGAGCCTCTGCTTGTCACGCAGAAGGTCCCAGGTTCAATCCCCGGCACCTCCAGCCAAAAAAAAAAAAAGCAGGCAGTAGGTGATGTGTAAGACATCGTGCCTGAGACCCGGGAGAGCTGCTGCCAGTCTGTGTAGGCAGTACTGATCTAGATGGACTGGCAAAGGCAGCTCCAGATGTCCATTCTTCCCCTGTTTAGTTGTGTGGATCTGGCCCCACCATTTCTAATGACCAGCCACAGCCTGGACGGGAGGCTGTTGGAACCCTGACCAGCCAGCATCGTGTAGTGTTGAGAGAGGGGGACTAGGTTCCAGGAGACTCAGGTTTGAATCCCCACTCTTCCACGGAAGCTGGAGGGGTGACCTTGGGCCGTTACACACCCTCAGCCTAACACCGGAAAGGGAAGGGAAGCTCCGCTAACCGGTGGATGCCGCAGGAGAGTCCACACTTTGATTGCTTTGGTCTTCCAAGAACTGCGGTGTGGTGCAGTGTTTCGATCTGGGAGACCCCACTCTGCTGCAGAAGCTGGCAGGGTGACTGGGCTAGTCACACGCTATCAGCCTAACCTACCTCACAGGGTTGTTGTGAGGATAAAATGGAGAAAGGGGAAACAATGTCAATCTCTTTGAATCCCCGTTGGAGAGCCACATGGGGTATACATGACGTATACATGAAGAGACATGTGGGGTATAAATGAAATAAATGAATACATTAATCACTAGTCACACAAGCAAGAATCATTCGCAGAGCAGTTCAGAACATGGTCTTGGGGGGGGATTGGACTGGGTAGAAATATATTAAAAATATAAATATTTGACCAGTCAGTTGGCTAGAGCCAGTTTGGTGTAATGGTTAAGGGCAGAGACTCTAATCTGGGAGAACCGGGTTTGATTCCCCACTTTTCCATTCGCAGCTGCTGGATGACCTTGGGCAAGCCATAGTTCTGTCAGCACTGTCCTTGAAAAAGAGCAGTTTCTGTCAAGAGCTCTCTCAGCCCCACCTACGTCACAGGGTGTCTGTCGTAGGGAGGGGGAGGGAAAGGAGTTTGTAAGCTGCTCTGAGATGCAGAGTGAAGGGCAGGGTATAAATCCAAACTCCTCCTCCTCCTCCGCTTCTTCTCCTTCTCCGTCTTCTTCTTCTTCTGTTCTTGGTGAAGAACTGAGACCCTACTCTCTTCAGACAACAGTCACACTCTGTGGAACGGCCAGATTGATTCAGTGCCAAAATGACAGATGTGACTAAGTGCCATGGGGAGGAAATTCGGCTGCCTGCCAAACGCCTGTCCTTCAAATACACAAGACTGCCTGTCACACTCTGTTTATGTTCTCTCACCACTGGGTAGTGTCTTAGACATTAAAAAGAAATGTTAAGGGAGGGTGGCCCAGAACACCGAGGGCTCAGCCACTCAATTAATTTTGATCAGTTTAATTTTTTACCTTGTCTTTCCCCCCAAAGCCAGTTTGGTGTCGTGGTTAAGTGCGCGGACTCTAATCTGGGAGAACCGGGTTTGATTCCCCACTCCTCCACTTGCACCTGGCTGGATGACCTTGGGCAAGCCATAGTTCTGACAAGAGCTGTTCTTGAAAAAAGAGCAGTTTCTGTCAGAGCTCTCTCAGCCCCACCGACCTCACCGGGTGTCCGTTGTGGGGAGGGGGAGGGAAAGGAGTTTGCAAGCCGCTCTGAGACACCTTTGGGTACTGAAGGGCAGGGTATAAATCCAATCTTTCCTTCTTCTCCTCTTCAAAGTAGCTTCCATTATTCTCCCCTCCTCTATTTTATTCTCACAACCAATGCTCCCTCTAAGCTATGCAGTCTTGTGAGCAAAATTATCTGCTTTGTGAGCTACCGGCATTAAAGTTGTGAGCGAGCAATTTGGCTACTGCATGAATTAGTTTGCTCTGGAGCCATCCTTCCTGAACGAAGACAAAAATGTGTGAGCTGGAGGCTAAGAAACGGTGAGCTAGCTCACACTAACTCAGCTTAGAGGGAACACTGCTCACAACCACCTTGTGAGGCAGGTTAGCTGTGCGACTGGCCCCAGATTGTCCAGCGAACTCCCGCAGCCCAGCCGGATTTCGAACCTGGGTCTCCTGGGTCCTAGCCTGACACTCTAAGCACTGCACCACACAGCAGTTCTTGGAGTTTGATGAAGACCGAAGCAATCCCAGGTCTGGACTCTTCCTGCGGCATCCAACAGATAGCCAACCTTCCTTTTCCTTTCCACCGTTCCTTCAGCCATCGGGACAAAGGGCAGGACGGTTTCTTCCGGGCTGCAGTAGAAACCGGGAAATGCCAGCAAAGGTCTAGAGGGCGAGCTCCAGGGATTCAGGTGACGTCTCCTGGCATCCGCTGCTTCTCAAAGTTGGCATTTGATCTCGGGCACTTAGCCGCCGAAAGCTGATACTCAGCAGTTGGTATGTAGTTGGAGAGAGGTACACATGTGGAGACGTCTCATGCTGATTCAGCCCATTAGTCTGTCCGGGTCAATCTTGTCCACTCTGGCACTCCGGTAGATGTCTTTCCCATCACCCCCTCCCTGTTTCTTTTTAGCTGGAGATGCCGAGGATGGATCACAGGGCCTTCCGTATGCAAAGCAGGTCCTCTGTCACTGAGTCACGGCCCAGCCCTGAGAAATGGTCCACAAAGATGCCTGGTGCTGGATCTATCAAGGTCAGCTTCATCTCCTCTTCATGGCAAAGACTTGCCGGGGTCTACGGTGGAGGTCTTTTATGTCACCCACTACCTGATCCTTTTAACTGGAGATGCCGGGGATTGAACCTGGGACCTTCTGCATGCCATGCAGAGGCTCTTCCACTGAGCCACAGCCAATGCTCCCTCTAAGCTATGGAGCTCTGTGAGCAAAAATTCTACTCTGTGAGCTACTGGCATTAACGTTGTGAGCAGGAGATTTGGCTGCTGCATAAATTAGTTTGCTCTGGAGCCATCCTTCCTGAGCGAAGACAAAAATGTGTGAGCCAGAGGCTAAAAACCTGTGAGCTAGCTCACACTAACTCAGCTTAGAGGGAACACTGCCCACAGCCCGTCTTATAGCTCTCCAGGGTCTCAGGCGGAGGTCTTTCCCATCACCTCCTGCCTGGTCCTTTTTAACTAGAGACGCTGCCGGGGATTGAACCTGGGACCTTCTGCATGCCAAACAAAGGCTCTTCCACTGAGCCACAGTCCCTCTTTACAGCTCTCCAGGGTCTCAGGCGGAGGTCTTTCCCATCACCTCCTGCCTGGTCCTTTTAACTTAGAGATGCCAAAGATTCAATCTGGGACCTTCTGCATGCCAAACAGATGCTCTACCATGGAGTCATGGCCCCTTTTTTTTTACAGCTTTCCAGGGTCTCAGGCGGAGGTCTTTCACATCATGTACTGCCTGGTCCTTTTAAACTGGAGATGCCGGGGACTGAACCTGGGACCTTTTGCATGCCAAGCAGAAGCTCTCCCACGGATGGAACTGCCTTATACTCCAGGTGTATCAAGGTTGATATTGTCCCCTCTGACTGGCTGTGGCTCTCTAGGGTCTCTGATAGAGATCTGTCACACCACCATCTGATCCTTTTGCGTGGCAATGCTGGGGGCTGAACCTGGGACCTTCTGCATGCAAACCAGATTGAATGAATGACGGCCATGGCCAAAATAAAGCTTCCTTCTACTGAGTCAGAGCTGTGGGCTATCAATATCAGAACTGGCAGTGGCTCTCCAGGTTCTCAGGCCTTTCATATCACCTATACTACCTGACCCCCCCCTTTTTAAAGGAAGATTCTAGGGATTGATCTTGGGACCTTCTACATGCAAAGCCAATGCTCTAATTGGAGAATTTCACTCTGCAGATGCTCATAGGCAGGCAATTCCTTTTCAGACATTCTTCTCCTCCCATTAGAGCACCACCATCAAACAAACAAACTGCAAGGACTGAAGTTCTGAAGGGGTGCATACAGCACCACTGTATTGTGTACCAGTAAAGTGACAAAGAGAAACCAAAGAGAAATTCCTCTGAATGGCAAAGAGAAACCAAAGAGAAATTCCTCTGAATGACAAAGAGAAATCAAAGAGAAATTCCTCTGAATGACAAAGAGAAATCAAAGAGAAATTCCTCTGAATGACAAAGAGAAATCAAAGAGAAATTCCTCTAAACTACAAAGAGAAATCAAAGAGAAAATCCTCTTTTGGAAGCGAATAAGCGAATAAGCTCAATAGCTACATCTAGTGAATTCAATGCTAGGCAGGAGGAGCTTTGTACCATTTCAGGGTACTGGTGGGGATGATGATATACAGCCTGCAGTGGCCCCTCTAAGAAGTGCAGGGGACAGGTGAGTGGAGAAAGGCAAAACCAACCAACAGATGGGGACGGTGGAGAACTTACATTTGAAAATGGGTGTCTAGGAAGCATCTGTTCCTCAGCAGCCCGGCCCAGAGCTGCACCCCGACGATCCCAAAGATGAAAAAGACAAAGAAGCATAAGAGAAGAACGTTGCCTAACATAGGCAGAGTATCTAGCAGCAGGGTGACGAGTATGCGCATACCTGGGGAGAGAAGAGAAGGAGAGGGGCGTCAGGTAGGCTGCCAGGCAAAGAACGTACAGCTGCAACATCACTGCTGAGAACACACTTGGGACTCAGCGCAGAGAACAGAAGCATGGAGAACTCAACAAGAGCCCTGCTGGATCAGACCAGTGAAGGTCCATCTAGTCCAACATTCTCTCTCACACAGTGGCCAACAGGTTCCTCAGGAGGTTCAACAACAGGGCATAGAGGCCGAGGCCTTCCCATGAGAAGAACCTCAGAAGAGCCCTGCTGGATCAGACCAGTGAGGGTCCATCTAGTCCAGCATCCCGTCTCACACAGGGGCCAACCAGTTGCTCGGGAGGACCAACAACAGGGCAGAGAGGCCGAGGCCTTCCCCTGAGAAGAACCTCAGAAGAGCCCTGCTGGATCAGACCAGTGAAGGTCCACCTAGTCCAGCATTCTCTCTCACACAGTGGTCAACAGGTTCCTCAGGAGGTTCAACAAGAGGGCAGAGAGGCCGAGGTCTTCCACTGAGAAGAACATCAGAAGAGCCCTACTGGGTCAGACCAGTGAAGGTCCACCCAGTCCAGCCTCCTGTCTCACACAAGGGCCAAACCAGTTCTCCTGGAGGGCCAACAACAGGGCAGAGAGGCTAAGGCGTTCTCTTGGTAAGAACTTCAGAAGAACCCTGCTGGATTAGACCACTGAGGGTCTATCTGGTCCAGCATCCCATCTCATGCAGTGACTGACCAGTTTCTCTGGAGGGCCAACAAAAGGGCACCGAGGCTGAGGCCTCCCCCTGATGTTGCCTCCTGGCCCTGGGATTCGGAGGTTGACTGCCTCTGAATGTGGAGGTTCTCTTTAGCCAGCGTGGCTCGTAGCCACTGACAGGCCTGTCCTCCATGAATCTGTCCAGCGCCCGTTGAAAGCTTTCTATGTCTGTGGCCACCACCACATCTTCTGGCAGCCAATCTCACATTTTAATCACTCGATTATTTCCTTTGGTTCATCCTGAATCTGCCGCCCCTCACTTTCATTGGTTGCTGAGTTTTAGTATTTGGGGAGAGGGTGAGAGAGTTCCCATCTGTACGCTCTCTCCACCCATTGCGTAACTGTATAAATCTCTATCACATCCCCCTCTTAAGTAGTCTCTTTTCTAGACTTTAACCCGGCCACCGGTGGCGGATACGGGATGTTCTTCTGGCTTGCATGTACCTACGGCACAGCTCCACAAAGGGCATGTGATGCAAATCACATGGTATACAGGGTATACAGGCTAGGCACAGGATCCTCACCTTGCATCAGACAAGTTACAGGGTCTTCTCTATTCCTGCATGTGCAGCACCCTATTAGAATCAGGACCACAGTGCAAGTGGAGAAAGTGCTTCTCTTTCTCTTCTCCACACCACTTTCCCAACCTGAAGCAGTCTGTAAGGGTCACTGTTTTGTGAAACCCACTTGTTCCTCTGGGATAGTCGTGGGACCAAGTAAGTTGGGAAAATGCAGGAGGGGACATGTGGGGAGATGGCCGAATCTCTTTCGCCACGAGCACCATGGTCCCGAACTCAAGAAGAAACTGCATGTGAGAGAAACAATGGCCCACAGAACCCAAGAGCATAAGAACATAAGAGAAGCCATGTTGGATCAGGCCAGTGGCCCATCCAGTCGAACACTCTGTGACACAGAGTGGCCAAAACCCAGGTGACATCAGGAGGTCCACCAGTGAGGCCAGAACTCCAGAAGTCCTCCCACTGTTGCCCCCCAAGCACCAAGAAGACAGTGCATCACTGTCCCAGACATAAGATCATAAGAGAAGCCATGCTGGAACAGGCCAATGGCCCATCCAGTCCCACACTCTGTGTCACACAGTGGCCAAGACCCAGGGGCCATCAGGAGTTCCACCAGTGGGGCCAGAACTCCAGAAGCCCTCCCACTATTGCCCCCCAAGCACCAAGAATACAGAGCATCACTGCCCCATACAGAGTGTTCCAACTATACCTTGTGGATCATAGCCACTCCTGGCCCTCTGCTCCATATTAAGAACATAAGAGAAGCCATGTTGGATCAGGCCAATGGCCCATCCAGTCCAACACTCTGTGGCACACAGGGGCCAAAACTCAGGTGCCATTGCGAGGACCACCAGCAGGGCCAGAACTCCAGAAGTCCTCCCACTGTTGCCCCCCAAGCACCAAGAAGACAGAGCATCACTGACCCAGACGTAACATTCATAAGAGAAGCCTTGTTGGATCAGGCCAATGGCCCATCCAGCTCAATATTCTGTATCATACCGTGGCCGAAAACCAGGTGCCATCAGGAGGTCCACCAGTGAGGCCAGAACTCCAGAAGTCCTCCCACTGTTGCCCCCGAAGCATCAATACAGAGCATCACTGCCCCAGACTTAAGAATGTAGGGGACACTATGCTGGGTCAGGCCAATGGCCCATCCAGCTCAATATTCTGTATCATACCGTGGCCGAAAACCAGGTGCCATCAGGAGGTCCACCAGCAGGGCGAAATCCAGTAGTAATGACAGTGCGGCTTGAACCCAGCCACCAGTGGTGTGGTAGGAGGAAATGGCCCCCTGGCCAAGGGTTATTGCATTCTGTTCACTACTGGAACATTGTAATGCCCCGGGTCTGGTCCCATCCAGAGAGCCGCTAGCAATGAACTGACCAAGCAAACGTCATCGGTTGCTCCAAGTCAGGACGCTTTACAAAGCCAGACTCGCCCTGCCCGCAAGCGGCTGACACTCTGCCAGGTCTCGACTGCCAATTGCCCTCCGGCGCTTAATGCAATTATCAAGCAAGCCTTGGGCTGTCACTGGAACAACCACCACTTGGCTCACCGAGGAGCAGGCTTTGTCACCGGTATGTTTCTCCAGGCCCCCTTTGGGTAGGTGCCATCAGCTGCCTGTGTCAACGCCATCGGTTACCTTTGTCAAGGCCATCACTAGCCTTGGTCAAAGCCATCACTTGCCTGGGCCAAAGCCGTCACTTGCCTTGGTCAAAGGCACAGGCTCGGCCCACGAGCAGCTGTCCCCTCCAGTGGGAGGGCGAGCAGGGTCACGACGTCATTTCATAACAGAAGCAACAGCAAGAGAGTAAGCAAATGTTGCAGCTTTTCCCGTGAACTGGGGGATCAGAAGGGATTACCTGGACGGCTGATGTTATCCGAAATTCATTATACCCTCGCTGTTGACATTCCCCCATTGCTCCGAGCGGTGGTTTTCCACCGGAAAGATTTGCCATTCCCAGCGGCGGAACTAAGCCCCGCGTCAAAGGGAATGCAAATCGCAGTGGTTAGAAAAAACAGCAGTTCTAAGCCAGCTATTGGTTTTAGATAAAATAAACGTTAAAAAGAAATTTCAGATGATCGGGAAACATATCTCCTAAGTAAATCACCTCTTCGGATTTCTGCATCCCTGATTATCCTTCCCTCTGCACATGGCTGGCGACCCCCTAAGCCATGTTCCCCTTCATTCTTTACACCCCTCTACTACTACTCCCAAAATTGGCTCCCCCCCACCTCCTCGTATGTGCAAACACAGGTTCGAATCAGCCTTCTGGCACAGACCACATAAACCAGGAACCTGTAGGCACTTCTTGTTGTACCTGTGGGCGCTGCTGGAATTTGGGGGAAGGTAGTGGGTGCTGCTTGAAATGGCTGCCGTTGAGTGCTAGGGGCAACCTCGCAATGTTAGCATGTTCCAAGCCAAGTGGCCTCCTATTGCAACGTATCATAAAACAAACAAATCCATAGATTTGTGGTGGAAGAGGCCCTAGGAAGGGAACATCTGAATTTGCTAACATCTAAATAAATATTGAAGCCATTGAATGACCACTGGGAATGCCTGGACATGGTCCGTCATCTTTTTTGGGGTTTTGAAACGGAAGATCATTGAGCACCTTAATTGTAATTGTATTGGATTGGTTTTAAATTGTATAATATGTTTTAATTATCGGAATAGTATGTTTTTATTTGCAAGATTTCTTGCCCTGTAAGCTGCCCTGAGCCCTACGGGGGAGGGCGGGATATAAATCTGATAAATAAATAAATAAATAAATTCGTTCAAAACAATTTAAAATATCCAGCTAGTTAAATTTAAATATATCTATGCAGGGCTCTTTTTGTAGCAGGAACTCCTTTGCATATGAGGCCACACGCCCCTAATCAGGGCCGGCTTGCTCACTAGGCAAACTAGGCGTTCGCCTAGAGCGGGCCAGCCCTTAGGGGTGCCACGGCACCCGCCCCCCCCACCAAAAGCCCCCCTACCCAGCACAGCCCATTCCTGTGACCTGCCTGCCCATGGGAGGCTCCACCAGCAGGGTCCGTGAAAGGCGCTGGGCAGCTGGGTGAGGCAGCAGCCGGGCAAAGTGGGTCAGTCGGTGCGGAAATCCTCTGGCCACCGGTGGCAGCACCCAAGTGAGGGGGGCAATGCACAGGGGGAGGGGGGCGGCGTACGGGAGGGGCGCCAGAAGGGATCCTCGCCTAGGGTGCAAAATAAGCTGGGGCCAGCCCTGCCCCTAATGTAGCCAATCTTCCAAGAGCTTACAGTAGCCCCTGTAAGAAGAGCTTTGTAAGCTCTTGGAGGATAGGCTACATTATACATGTGTCGCCTAATATGCAAAGGAGTTCCTGCAACAAAAAGAGACCCGAATCTATGGCTCAGAGTGGCCATTCTGTTTCAGTTCCGTTTCAGTTCCATTTCAGTGTACACCAAGCTCAGGCCAGGAAGGTGTTGCGTCAGAGTGATGGATCAAGCAACCGTGCCACAGGGTGCTTGAGCAGGGGAGGCCAATGATATTTGACGTCCGTTGGCTCAACCAAAGGCCTGGCAGAACAGCTCCATCTAACAGTCCTGGCGGAGCTGCAGCAGATCCTGCAGGGCTCCGATCTCATCCGGGAGCACGTTCCACCAGGCTGGGGCCATGGCCGAAAAGGTCCTGGCCCTGTTTGAGGCAAAGATATCTTTCAGGCCGGGGACAACTAAGCGGTCCTGACCTGAAGAGCACAAGGCTC